CGCTGCTGTGCAATGCATCTTGTCAAGACAATTCATCAGACAATGAACCAGAACAGACAGAAGAAAATCCAGCTCAGGTTCTTTCTACATTGATGATTGTGTTGTTAACCATCGCCGGTCTACTGATCATTGCAATCAATGGCCTGGTGATCTACTTAATCTACGTTAAGAAAGCTCTTCGGTCGCCAACAAATTTGTTTCTCACTTCTCTGGCATTTTTGGACTTCACTACAGGATTCGTGGGAGTCCCTCTTGTTGTACATTGCCTGGCTAAGGAAGTTCTATCAGTGTGCGTTTTTTCGACGATCTTCATTCGATTCGCTGCTATTTCGTCAGTTTGCCATATCATTCTCATAGCTTTTGATCGTTATATCGCCATAGTGCATCCCTTGCAACATGGCTCCCTTGTAACAAAATGGCGAGCAGTTGGTGCTACTTTATTTGTGTGGCTGATGTCATTTGGAGCGTCTATTATTCAGCTGTCGTGGTACACTCTGGATGAGAATACTTTGAAGGAATATGCCGAGGAAACAGCAACTTCCGATTTGAAGTACATAAAAGCTTGCATCGTGGTGTTTTTCGCAATTCCTCTGTTGATGATATGCTACATGTACGGTCACATATTTTACATTTCATTTAAGAGTATGAAAACTGACCGCGTCCGAAAAAGTTCCTTGCGGCAGCCAAACCGACCTCTTCTTCACGAATGGCGAGGCCGCAGTGTTTTGCTGATCATGGTTGTGATATTCGCCGGGTGTTGGTTGCCATTTTTTTTGGCCATGTTACAGGACCACAAGCCATCCCTGGAGTTCTCTCTGCGTTCAGTCTGGGTGCAGCGTTTGCTTGTGGCCCTGACGTTCGTACCACCGCTGTTAAATCCCCTCTTATGCACGTTGGCCAAGAAGGATTTCCGTCGCTCATTAATGGAAGTGGCCTTCAGAGAGAGGCTTCTTCGACAGCGTGAGGAAAGAGCATATTTTCAAAAATCAAGTGTGAACAATGTGTGATTTCGATGGACCCTGTTAAGCACAGAAAATTTGTTTACGTCATGCAACAAGTCACTTATTAGTATTTTTAAATTATTCATCTTCAAGTTAAATTAATACTGATTTAAAATGTTTCTACAGTTGTTACTTTAACAGGATTTAATGGATCGGAAACCATTTGTGGAATTGCACACATTTTAGGCATCCTATAGAGAATGAACAGTTACTAAAGAAGAATGATCAGCAACAAGAGTTTGCATTGTTTGTCCGCTACGAATTTAAGGTTCATGTCTCTGCAACTTCATTAAGTTTGCAGTTTCTACAAAAGCATTAATTTACAACACCTAGAGACAAGATCTCCTTAAGATTTTCTTGTAATCTCTTGTGCAAGTAGAAGCAGCATCACGAACTATGATTTGAGTTTTTCTTCACCGCTAGAAGAACGCTAAAAAATCATTCTTATCCTCTCATGATCGAACATTCTAAGCATTTTTTTTCTCATAATTATGATAACACATTGATGAAAACCGTACACTACCCATGCACGCAGAGTAGTGTCGACAACAAACCTAGTTTAACTTGAAATACTACAATTCACACTTAAGATAAAAATGTACCATAAAATTCCCAAAATAAACCCCTCCAAATATAAGCCCCCCAAACCGGACCAACCCTGAGGCGTCTTGATCAATAGGTTGAATAATTAATAAATTACGAAAAAGTCGATATTGACTCAACGATGAGTTCAACAAGTCTGTGATAAAAAAAGAAAGAAGTATAACATAGAATATTGGCGGCCAGAGGTAAAGTCATATTTCGGACCAACCATGAGGCGTCTTTATCGTGCCCTAAATTGTACGTTAAGACACGACGAGGGACTGCACGGCGTTTCAGAATAGTTTCACTCTATTGAGAAAAGCTTTCCCGTGACAGTTTTAGCACTCAGTTACGCTCTCCAAACTAGCCTTAGTATCAGGACCTGCCTTAGCTTTTACCGAAGAGCAGATTTTAATTACAGGTCAAAGCGGTGAAGGGTTGCTGTTTTCCCTTTTCGCTTTTCTCTCTCCCCCACCAGAAACACCTGATACTCAGGCTACTCCAAACTGATAGCCAAGGTCTTCCCTCGAGTTGACTCGAGTATCTTGCCATAGTCTTCTATAGTGGCTATTTCTAAGCTTTCTAGTTTTGGCAGCTAGTCTGTAAGGACTATAATTTTTCTTTAAAAAAACGGAAGGTTGAAGTCATCAAATCCTTCTTAATAACCTGATGATAATGACTAGTTATAAGTACGCTATATGCAATATACCTTCCCATGAAGGAGATTTCCGAGTAAAAGAACCTGCTAAAGATTTTCCGACAAAATTGGTACACTGTTGCAACAAGTCAAAAAGATGAAAAAAAGTAATAAAATGAGGGAGTCACCGTGCTCCTTTCCACGGCACGATGCTCACGCTCAAGACTCTTTACACGCTTTAGGCTCCTTATAAATCACCACGTGCAGCTCACATTTCGACCCAACTACGTTCGATGTTTCCCAAGAAGCCTAAGATATCGCATGTGGTGTCCGCTGACTTATTATATTATCCACCCTTGTATGGACCAGAAAATGCTACAGCTCTATACAGGCGGTTTAGAGTGTCTGCGATGCAGGCTACGTTTTTAACTTAGCCCTCCAAGGAAGGCTTTTTTATTAATGTGGATGGCTGTGTACTGTTCGACTCGATAAAGGTCAATCCTTACACCATGTCTCATCATCAGTTCAGTTATTTCTACTACTGTAGACAGACAACTAAAAGAATTTACGAGAAATATATTTATAAATAAACAATACATACAGTATTGGGACACCAAAAATACTGGAAATAAAAAGCTAAACTAGTTGGGTGTCCGTAATTATAATACTCAGTGAAAATGTGAAACGTCAGGAAAGAGGCACAACAAATATATTGGTACACATAAATGTCAAAAACTTGGTACAAAAGTAAATGTACAGAACAAAACAAAATATCAGTACAGATTAATAGAGACTAATGAAATGCAAAGTTATTTCTTTGCAATTTAATTAGATTACCCAACAACTAGCCATAAATTGCTACCAATTTTTTTTCTCGATGATAGGAAGCAAAGTTATTACTCAGGTGGGTGCAGCTGCAGGAAGTGCGAACTGCGATCATTCTTTCTGTTGTTTTCAGCGACGACAGAGGCGAGTTTCACGTGGAAGGTGAGAGAAATGCAGCAAATGAAAAATACGATTTTAAGGAATATAAATCGAGATATCATAATTAGGACGCAGTCTGATAAATGCAGAGTTCCAAGATTTAGCAAAAGTTTAAAGTCCCTCTGCAGCCGAGAACACACGACTTGGAAAATACTGCCAGGGGGACAAACGCTCTTGGAATTCAGACTGAGCCAGCTAAAAATTGACCAAGGTCGTCACTGTCAGACAGGGCGCAGCTGCTCAGCTGTTTTGGCGGAATATTTTTACAGGCGTTGCGAAAAGGAAATAGCCAAATTCTTGGCTCTACAGAACGTAGTAAGAGGATAGAGCTTAAAAAGAGAGCAACTGAGGTCTTCGGAGGATAACAGCCTCCTTGATCTGCGTAGTCAGTGCCTCATATCATACTCAGCCTCATTCAACATTTTATTGTTAACGCTATATGCGTGCTTTTACTTGGAGCATCACATGAGCAACGACAGTTAAAACTAACGAAGACCCCGGACAGCAACAAGAAGGACAAAAAAGCAATAAGTTTTGGTGACATTTCTTTGCCGTCACTGCACGACTACGACAGTGCATTTTATTGAGGACGCAAACACCCGACGACGACTTTCTTCACTTTCTAAACTTCCCCAAGAATTCAGCTTAAGGGAAATTCACCTTAATTTGACATTTTAAACGAGTCTAAATAGTCGCGATGAATTTTGAGGAAAACGCCATTTTACAAGTGGGGTTTTCGCTGCCGTCGCAGTCATCGTTGGTGAAGCCTCTTTTTAAAAAGTTACTGCCTCTGTGTTATCGACTCAAAAGAAAAAAAAAACACCTAAGAACATAAAACTAAAAGGCATAATAAAAAAGACACAAAGAAAATGAAGCTTTACTTTGGAAATTGCCATTTAAAATGGTCAATAAATTTGTGCCTCCAGAATTTTTCACAACAGTGCCATAAAAATAGAAACCTTTTCATTCGTCACAAATAAGAACACCTCATTAGTGTTGTGAAGTTAATTTTTTTTCCTGTCTGGAAAGATGAATCCATCTAAAAATAAATGCACACAGCGCCTGCCAAAGGAATAGATCTTCACGGCGACGCCACCTTAGCTTGATCGTTTTAATTCCTGTAAACCACAATTTATGCAAAATGTGACCTTTTTATCATCCATTTAAACTCATTTACTTTCATAGTTATGGGCTACAATCAAATCAAATCAAAGAAAAATTTAAATAAAAATGCAGCAAATTCAGATTAAAGGCTAGTTTGATTTCAAGCTATAAAGACAACAAATTAAAAAGAACATAAAACCAAAAACTGATAAAAATCCTAAAACTTTATGTGCGATGACATAGCACAAACAACGGGAATGTTTTTTTATGGATCGTATCTTAGGAGCGTGTTTATCCCGATGTTTACAAACATTCCCAAACAAGGAACTCCTTCGTGTGACGTATGAATAGGGTGTCTCTTGTGACGATGCAGTCTTGTAATAACTCTGTCATGAAAAATTCTTTTGATAGCTATGATTTTTAGCTGCCTGTTTATAATGAATTATAAATAAAGATAGTTCCTAGTGGGTATGAGAAAAATATTAGGCACACAATTTTTTCTTTTGTATGAGGCAAAAATAACAATGAATCAGTGCTATCATCGCTGTTCGTTTTGTCACGCACTACTGTACTTCACGAGGATTACATACACGAAAGGGCGAAATGGGCCTGCTGGCTCGGCACAGATGCAAGAATACCTTAATTTCTCTTACTGTACAAACAGTGGTTCACTCAAGAGTTACGGTAGAAGGCCATTTAAGGGTTTAAGAGAGAGAACTTTTTTTTCCAAAGCAAAATTTTGCTTAGTCACTGTGACAAAAGGAAGGCATTATTAAGTATGTAAATTAGAAGTTTGCGTGCACTTGGCAGACTATATAAGAAGGCGCCGGTTGTTAACAAGAGTATTATCAGCATCGCTGTTCGCTGATTCTTCCAAACATGCTTAAAACTTTGATTATCTTGCTGCTGGCTCCACTGGTTTCTTCAAAGCTCAGATGGGAACAGCTTTCCGCGGAGAACGAATTACCAGCCCCGAGGAGGGATTCATCGATCGGTTTCCATCGAGCCACAAACAGACTGGTCATATTTGGAGGCAAGGGTAGCAGCATTTTCGGCGACACTTGGCTCTACGATTTAAATTCAAAGACGTGGATGAAAGTGAATGCCACAACAGATAGCCAAGGGGTCTCCATCCCTGAGAAGCGTTTTAGCATGGTGTACGGCGCTACTGGAGACTATTTTCACATCTCGACAGGTGAATATACCGGACCACCAAGAACATTTTTCAACGACATCTTGCGGTTCTCGTTTTTAAATAGAACATGGGAACGACTTGGCGAAAACTCCGAAATCAAACCACAAGAACGTTATGGATCGGCTGGGGGAATATTTGACGACGGAAGTGGCACCAATGGTTTTTACGTTACTCATGGATTTTCGGGAACACGGTACTCTAACACACTCAAGTTCGACTTTGAGAAAGACGAGTGGGAGGAAAAATTTGGTGGCACAAATAACTATAACCCCAATTATCCACACGCTCGCTGTCTACACGCCGGAACGATGACCAAACCAGATGAGCTAGTTATGTATGGGGGCTGTTTAGGGTAAGCAATGTACAATATTTTGATGCATGTAAACATTACATTAACGGTGCTCCAAATAACATGCCAGAGCGATGGGTCTGACACCAATTGAACCAATCAAGGCAAAATGATTCGTGCGACATGTTTTGATCGAAAGAAAATTTCCAACTGGATCGAAGTCCTCCATTTATCATTTTTGCTTTTACCCACTGATTGATTACTTCTTGTTGAAGTAGGTTTGGACACGAAAACTTTTAAAGGCCAATCGGTCGAAAAGGGTGAACACTTTTTTCCATACTAAGCCTTTTCCGGAAAATGTAAGGGTTCCATTTACACTTCCACTCAAGTTTGGAAATTTTGGTATTACGGTAGGCTCACACTGTATTCCTACGCACAGGACCCTGGTTAGGCCTTGTAAGGGTAAGTTATGACAAAGGTTGTGGACTTAAAACAACGACTTGAGGAACATCTAGTGGCAACAAAGGATACAAGAGAAAGATTACAAATTTGACAGTAAAGAAATCAATATTTTAAAACCAACAGAGGTGTGTTTTCCTTTGTCATATGTCATATAAAGACAAAAAAAATCAGACTCAACTCTCTGTCAGATAGACACCTTTTCCGGGGAACTGGCACCTATATATCCATCGTAGAGACGTGTCCATCTTCTACAGGGTCAACTAAAAGCAGTAAAGAAAGGCAGAGACCAACTCTAAGTGTCTGGTTTAGTCAAGTGTCCATCTTTTAGAGGGTCAACTAAAAAGGAAGGGACCAACTCTAGGTGTGTGTTTTTGTAAAAGGGACCAGCTGTAGGTGTTTGCTTTAGCGCATTAACTCAAAGGAGTAAAGAAAGGCAGGGACAACTTTCGGTGTCCACCTTAGAGAGATGTCTGTCCTACAGGTAGTCATATAAAAGGATTAAAAAAAGGCAAGGACCAACTCTAAGTTTCTAATTTAGTAAGGTCCGACAGTCTGTCTTACAGAGGTGTTTGTGAGGGAGAGTTGACCGTACAGTGTACCTCACTCACAAGGCCTTCTTGGTGGTAGATATATCAGTCTTAACCTTTGCCAAATTTTAACAAAGTTAATGTATATTTTTAATTAATTTTCAGTGGGGGAATGACAGGAGGGCCATGTCCATCAAAAGATAACTGGAAATTTGATGCCACCACAAAGAAATGGACTCGCCTGGAAGAATGTTCAACTCCCAGGGTTTATCCTTCCATGGCTATGCTTCCACCACTAAATGGCACTGTGCGAAGAGCAGTGTTGTATGGGGGTAATGAAAAGACAAGGTCTGTGTTAGGGGTGAGTGTAACTAAGCAAATAATACGAACAAACATATCCCGCAACAGAAAGTATCAGAAACTGTGGTCTTTTTAAAAAGGGAAATAATGAATTAGTGGTAACACATCTGCTACTATACAGTTGAACCTCTCCACAATGGCCACCTTGAGGACAGAAGAAAATGGCCATTGTAGAGAGGTTGCTGTTGTCGAGAGGTTTAAACAAGAGTCAATGCATGGACTGTCTGCCAAAAAAGTGGCCATTATGGAGAGGTTGCTGTTGTCGAGAGGTTTAAACAAGAGTCAATGCATGGACTGTCTGCCAAAAAAGTGGCCATTGTAGAGAGGTGGCTGGTAGAGGATGTTTGACTGTAATACGG